TGTTCTTGGTCTCAAACTTACCTATCCAATATTTAAAGGTTAAGAAATGGAGATTTAAAACTAACAAATGTTAGTTTTACTATAGCTCTGTGGATACAATTTAATGAAGATAGATGAATCTTGTACTAAAACGATCTAGGGACTGAACAGTCTGGAAGCAAATAGATCATTCCTTTCAACATCTTTGTCACCACTTTCTACACTGAAAAACTCACTTTAATTGGGAAGGACTTCTTAAACCATAAAACTAAATTCCAGTAGTTTGGGGTTCTGCGCCTAATGCTGTCCCTATTGTGTTTGAGAAGTCACATTTCCCACCCCTTCCAATACAAAGACAAATATGTTACTGAGTACTTGAAGCCTTATCTAAACCACTGCATAGAGAACAATTAAAATTATGACTGATGGGACTCAATCCCATATTGGGGCTATGAGTCACATCACATTTACATTTAGCCTGATTTGATGGCCTCTCACAAAAGGAGCTCCCATTTGATTGTCTGTGGAGTTCCTTGCACATTTAGGATTTTAGTGTTTTGAATGAGTTTTGTTATAGGCGATTCAAATTCTGTTTTCCTCTTTTATTTTAGAAAAATCACTGTTGCCATAAGATCTATTATATTTGTGGATTGCAATGGGATCAGCAGTCTTAGGTTTGAGAAAATCTATTTAATGTGGGTTCTTGGCTATTATCTGTTTCTGCTTCAAAACTTTTGTTCCAAATGATACTCCTGGCTCAACCTCTCAGGGCAAGAACTCAACATTATTCTGTGGAGATTCTTCCTATACTTCAAAACTATGCCCAAGACAGGAACTGAAATGAAACCAAGTCATTACCGTAATAATGATCTATTTTTGTTGTTGTCGACATTTCCTTTGCATTCTTGGTACAAACTACAAGAACATTTTGATTTAAATGCTTCTCTTGTCCCACTTTGCTATGAGTTACTTCTGGAAGCCATTTTTCTTATTTATTGATCACGATGAGTGTGAAGTGAACACAGCCATTGTTAACATCTCATATGTTGACTTGTCAAACTGGTCATTGTTTACCTTTGAAAATGTATACATTTTATTCTTGAATCTTTTAGGGGAAATAAAGAGTTATATTGCCAGTGTTGCATGCTGACTGCATATATTAGAACAAATTTATTCAAGGAAAACAATTTTTGTGACCCACACACAGATAGCTCAGGCAGGCAAGCCACCATATTGGTTTACAGGACTCTTTATGACTCATCTTTGAGTGAACTGAACTATTCAAGTATCATTTTAGCACCTTTCTCCAAAAACACCTTCCCTGCTGTCGCCCAATTCCTGCAGACACAAAGGAATGGTGGGAGGCACCAACAGGGCAACCTCTCAAGGGAAGATGGCTGGGAGGCAGTGTCAGAAGCTGAAAAGGTAACAGAGTTTAGTGAGCAGGCAGAGGCTGTGGCAGAGAGAAGTCTAGAAGCAGAATCAGGAGAAAGGAGAGGCAGAGATAAGCCATACTGTCTCCCCCTCCTGCTGCAACAAGCTCCCATCCCCACTGGGCTCCCAGGACCAGAAACCTGGGAGAGGAGGAGACTTACCGTATTTTTCGCACCATAGGACGCACTTTTTCCCTCCTAAAAAGCAAGGGGAAAATGTGTGTGCGTCCTATGGAGCGAATGCAGGCTTTCGCTGAAGCCTGGAGAGTGAGAGGGGTCGGTGCGCACCGACCCCTCTCGCTCTCCAGGCTTCAGGAAGCTATCCGCTAGCAGTGGGAGACCCAGCTCTCCCACCGCTAGCGGAGTGCTGCATTAATCCCGAAGCTTGGGGCGTGCGGAGCTCAGCGCGCCCCAAGCTTCTGGGTGCCGGCAAGGTCTCCACTAGCCCTGGGAGAGACCCGCGACGTCGCGCGGCTCTCCCACGGCTAGCGGATCACTGTGCTAATCCCGAAGCTTGGGGCGTGCGGAGCTCAGCGCGCCCCAAGCTTCTGGGTGCCGGCAAGGTCTCCGCTAGCCCTGGGAGAGCCCCGCGACGTCGCGCGGCTCTCCCAGGGCTAGCGGACCACTGCGCTAATCCCGAAGCTTGGGGCGTGCGGAGCTCAGCGCGCCCCAAGCTTCTGGGTGCCGGCAAGGTCTCAGCTAGCCCTGGGAGAGCCCCGCGACGTCGCGCGGCTCTCCCAGGGCTAGCGGACCACTGCGCTAATCCCGAAGCTTGGGGCGTGCGGAGCTCAGCGCGCCCCAAGCTTCTGGGTGCCGGCAAGGCTAGCGGAGACCTTGCCGGCGCCCAGAAGCTTGGGGCGCGCTGAAGCTCCGCACGCCCCAAGCTTCGGAGATTAGCGCCTCCGCTAGGCCGTGTCTAGGCTGCAGATAGCAGGCCTGCCTTCCCGGAGCGGTCGGGCGGCCCTGAAAGCAGAAGCTCCCGGCGCTTCGGGGAACACATCCGCAGGCAGGGGGACCCTTGCAGGAGCTCCCCGCAAGGCTCCCCACGCTGTCGGATAGCAGCCCTGCCGCCCGGCGCGAAGGGCGCGCCTGAAGCAGAGCGCCCCTCGCGCCAGGCATACATCCGCAGGCGTGGGGAGGCCCTGCAGCAGTTCCCCGCAAGGCTCCCCAAGCTGCGGATAGCAGGCCTGCCACCCGGGCGGGGGGGCACCCTGAAGCAGAGCACCCCTCGCGCCAGGCATTACATCCGCAGCGTGGGGAGCCCTGCAGCAGTTCCCCGCAAGGTTCCCCAAGCTGCGGATAGCAGCCTGCCGCCCGACGGGTGGGGCGCCCTGAAGCAGAGCGCCCCTCGCGCCAGGCATACATCCGCAGCGTGGGGAGCCCTGCAGCAGTTCCCCACAAGGCTCCCCAAGCTGCGGATAGCAGTCTGCCGCCCGGGGGCCCCCAGAGCGCCCCGCGCTAGGCAGACATCAGCCAGCCCCACAAGCTCGGGGGACAGCAGGGAGGCGCAGCGCCACTATCCCGCTGTTCCTCGACCTGGTTCGGTTTCCCTGACCTGCTTTTGGGGGGGAAATAAAGGGAATTTTTTTCCCCTTTATTTCCCCCCCCAAAAAAACTAGGCGCGTCCTATGGTCCGGTGCGTCCAATCGTGCGAAAAATACGGTAAGTCAGCTGTGGACTTTCAGTCTGTACAACTGCCTCATAGAGCCAAGACCTACTGAGAAGGGTTGCTGTGCTCATTAAGCCTGGTGCTCCTGAGCAGGCCTTATTTCTTCTAATAAAGAGTTAACTTCACTAACAGTGACTTACTGCTAGCTGGCTCACTGACACACACAGTCCTTGCTTACGATGACAGCATAATTTTGCTGTAGCTACACTACTTATATCAAGAAGCTGCTTTAAATGAATAGTGCCTTTCCATGGTCCCTGCACAACCTTGAAGCAAAACACAACTTTTATAGGAATTTTCCAAAATCTATCTACGCTGCCCCAAATGTTCAGTGAAGCGACAAATTAATCCCCATAGTTCTGCAAGCATTTTGGTCCATCCTCTGTAGACCAGTTTAAAGTAGTACCTCATATGCTCTCACTGATGGCAAAACTACTCTTTAGAACAGTTTCATTAGTTTTAATGGTTTCAACCTAGTCCTGCAGTTTATCTATATGAATAACACAATCACCCATCAAAAGGTTGCTGCTTGTGATCTTTTGAGCTGGCTATAAAATCTTCACATAAAGCAGGATGCCAAATTAAGCCATCTGTATTGTATTTTCAAGCTTGTAAATTCAAATCCCGATAGCAAAACATCTACTTCAAATGGACCATTAACATCAACACTTTGTATATATACACATTCTCCAAAACCATTCACTCTAGTAAGCTACTTAGTAACTTCTTCGTTGATTCAAAACACAAAGTTGCAGTAACAAGGGACTTTCAGACTTTCCAGGCACTAGACTCTTGCCTTAAATTAGGGAATACATTTTTACTGGCATTTTTACATCAGTATTTGGAAGACCTCTAATGGACAAACTCACTCACACACTGTTCTATTAAACATCAGCTGGAGAGCTGTGTACCGTTGGAAGCAACACTATAGGATACTAGCGGACAAAGTTCAAGAGTGTACAACGAGCAAGAATGCAAGACCTAAGGAAAGCTAAATGATCATTAAGCCAGTCACGATGAGATGTTTTAAGGACTTACTGGGAATATCTGAAAATACAATTACAGAAGTTGGCTGCTAGTTGTACAAACTAGACAGATATTAGGGGGAACATAAAGGCTGGCATGCCTGTGAAAACAGATGTCAAGCCTGCACAATACAGATACTGCTATGTCTGCAAATGTGCAGGCTTATCCACAACTAATCACACAACTACATATATTGTTAACTGATCTTTGCTGAAGCATGTTCTAGTACCCATTGGGTATTTAATCAGCTTTTATAGAGGCAGGTGTGTCCATTATGGACCTAGCAATCATCCAACACAGCCCAGCCTAGACCTCTCTTCCTGCCTGGCTCCTTTAGAGCAGTGGTGGCCAAACTTGGCCCTCCACAGTTTTTGGACTACAACTCCCATTATCCCTAGCTAACAGGACCAGTGGCCAGGGATGATGGGAACTGTAGTCCCCAAACAGCTGGAGGGCCAAGTTTGGCCACCACTGCTTTAGAGCAACAATGACCTGCAGCCCTATAAAGTTGCAGAACTACAGCTCCTATCTTTCTATCAACGATGCTGGCTGAAGTCCAACATCTGGAAGGCTGCATACTCCCCACACCTTAGAGAGACAAGTGTTAATAAACAAAAGACCAGGATAAACCAGATAGAAGGCTTTTGTTCTCAATCTCCCTACCCAGTTTCAGAGAAAGGAAGATGTAATTAATCAAACATAGAATCCAGCAGATTTTTCCTCTCTCATTCATCAATCATTCTCCAAAAGCTTTCTAAGAAAAATTGAAATAATGACTGGCAGCTAGTACCTCAACAATTGTACATAAGGGGGGAAAACATTAGTACATAAGCATTCTGGAACAGATATTACTACCTCCTCACTATCCAGTTTGAAAAAAGTCCAAACATCGCTTAACTGAAGTACTTAATTTAATGATCAACGTTACAGCATGATCAACACCAAAGTGGATCACAAGGAATAGTTCACTGAAACAGTGATGTTCAGTTGTCAGATATCCGGAGAGGAGAGTCTGAAAAGGAAGAAAACAAGTTATAAAATGAATCTGTTTTTAATCTCAAGGCCACTTATGCAAAGGTTTTTGTCTAAAATGAGCAACAGGATGCTTTCACCTATATATTTAAGCCCCATGAAAACCAGTATTGTGTAATAGATATAGGAGTTTACAGACCAAGTTGGACAAACCAATGTGAACAGAGACAAACACGTAATACACATATGCAGATAAACACCTCACTGCAGGCATTGTTAACAGTTCTACCACTAGGGGGCTTTGAATAAAACAGGTTTTGAAAAGTAGGTAGGAAGGCAAAAGCAGCAATACAGCATAGGTATTCCATAAAAAGAGGTCAAATATTTAAAAAGTAAGGGGGCTAGGCCAAGGGACAGGAAAAGATAGCAGGCCCCATCATGGGGACTGAAAAGACAATATATAAATGTTTCTATAAATAAATAGGTTCAGATGAGTAAGTCTTTAGTAGAGATGCAATCAAACACAAAAGCTAAAAGGTAGAACATTGCAGGGCTATCAATTGATAATAAGTACATAAGATGGGTCTGGTGGATACAGAGCTAAGACAAAACATCCACCATACCTAGTCAAAAAGTAATATTCTTTTGCCAAGGTTAGACAACGGAAAGTTTTCAGATACCTACTCATGATCATTTGGGTGGTGCACTTTCAAACACCCCAGCTTTTCTCATGGCCTCAAACTCCTTCATGGCATCATAGTTTTTATAGAACTCAGCATATGCTCTTTTCCTTGGTTCAGCCACACCAAACTAAAGAGAAAGAGATAAGACCGCAAGTTATTACTGGAAAAAGTTGCATCCTCTCACTAAGACAGTCTTAATTAAAGAACTAACTCACAAACTGACTTCTTAATGTACCACAGTCTGACCTTGTATCCAGCTGCACATCCCATCGAAAAAAGGAAAGCCACTACAATGTGTTTTCTTAGACGACTGGCCAGGAGGCCTCTCATCTGGGGCTTGGGCAGCAAAGCAGCAGACATGGTGATGTTTTCTCCTAAAAAAGGCAAATCAAAGAAAATTTAGCAAGGGTGTGCTGTCACAAAAGCATCTCTACGACCAACAGTGAAAAGAATCAGCTACAAAGATGTGGTTATTCAAATCTCTAAACCCTATGCAGCTGAGCCAAGCTTCATAGGCAAGGAGGTCACTTATATAGCTCCCCAAATTACTCAGAAATTCCTGTTTCTTAGATTTTCAATAAATATCTAATGAGGCATGCATAGAAGCTCTACAACCTTTATCACTTCAATAATATGTCTTACTTGTAGACTTAATTTTGGATGCAAGGCATCATTTGCCCACACAATAGGAAGAAATGGGTGTGTGGGACAGGGGGAAGACCAAGGGCGATTAAGCAGCCTTTTTTATTTATTTATAGGATTTATAACCCTTTTCAGCCAAAAAGACTCCCAGAGTGGCTTACATACAGTCAGTTAAAATAAGACAGTCCATGCCCACAGGCTTGCAATGTAAAAAAAACACAATATACAAGGGGAAAGGGACAGTGACAAAAGGAACTCAAACTCAGGCACCAATTATTAAACATTTGTTGTTATAGTGACCACTAGGCTCCATTCGGGTAGGAGGTGCCTGATGGAGCTAAGCTTTTGACCAAACTGATGGAACAAACTGCACTTCCTATCTCTCCCCCAGAGGCAGTCTGATGGAGTGCCTTCCCACATAAGTAACAGTTGAGAGAGGCAGCCTAACAGAGCTGGCCAATCACAGCAGAGCTTATGGGAGTGCTCTGCTTCCCATCTCTCCCACTAATAGAATGGCTGCTTCCAAATGAGAGTTGAGGGAGGAGGCCTGATGGAGCTGGCTATATACAAGCTATCCCAGTTATGGTTCATAGAGGACAAAAAGTTACCGTGTCTGCCCTGTTTAACCATCATTTTGCATCTGGTTCCACCCCCAAAGACATTACACATACCTTGGTTTTCAAACAGCTTAGTTCTTGAACATTTTGGCTCCCAAACGCTGCAAACCCGGAAGTGACTGTTCCGGTTTGTGAACTATTTTTGGAAGCTGAACGTCTGACGGGGCTTCCACAGCTTCCAATTGACTACAGGAGCTTCCTGGAGTCAATCAGAACCAACGCTTTGGTTTCCAAACATTTTGGAAGTCGAACAGACTTCCAGAACAGATTCCGTTTGACTTCCAAGGTATGACTGTATTTTATGCTCTGTTGCTAAAGGTGCCTTCAGTATCCTAATTCTGGACACATTTTCTTACAATATTGTACATGCTGTGTCATATGGAAACATAACACCTGAGAGCAGCACTCGAAATTAACCACTCGCCAGCTGTTTTCTGTGACACAGGAGCACCACCTAGTGACCGAGTTTAGAATTCCAGTCACATAGTTTGTGACCGGCTGTGCGGGAGAACCACAGCATCAGTTTTCCCTTTCTGCCTGACCCCAGGAAGCTTTTTGATGTGCTAAAAGGTTGTGGTTTGCAAACAAACAGATAAGCAATTTGGGGGGGGGGGGAGCAGCAGGAGAGATCCAGCTGTTTTGCCTCTGGTCACAGAAAAACAGATAAATTGGTGCAAATTCTATAAATTAGAATCTTTTAGAAACAGAAGTGGGGTCCATTTGTATGAACTTTTAAGTGCAAGTGATGCCAGTAAATCCTAGTTATCAATATGGAACAGTTATCTCTTTTTTTCTTTTTAAGTGCAAACATTCCCCACAAACTTCCTCTCATCCACACTCAGTTCATACACTACAGCTGCAATGGTAATTTGGGATGGGGGCAAACCAACAAAGAAACTAATGGTCTTGAAAGAGTGGAGCATCACCTACTTTTTAAAGATTTGCATGAGTGCTCCTGTACCATTTACAGGGAAGTGCTTTACAGAAATTAAAACATTAGAACTTTGAAAATAATCACATTACATGAGCACGAATGGAGAAAATGTCCCTCACTGGTAGCTCCATCTATCACAGAAACTGTGGCTTTGCAAACTGAAAAATAGAGTTTCAACCCAGTGAGAGCAACTGTGTGTAGTAGATTGTCTGTAGGACCAGGACCTGAGAGAGCTGGGTTCAAATCCCTACACTATGTTAATGTTCTATACATGTCTAAAGTCTCACTGTTAAACTCTGTATGACTTGTTTTGCTGTGGCTGGTTATAACCCTCCAAACACCACAAAATACAAAAAAAGACCAAATAAATTCTCTATGAAAAATAAATAGAAAGTGCTGTTGCATTGAGGGGAAGGGTGATTAGCCATTGTTTTTGCACCTGTAACCCAGGTTCCACAAGCCGTGTAGGCAGTTTTTAACACTGCTAGGAGTGATGCGCCAACGCCAGGAGCAGGTGCATAGAAAATGCAGTCACACCTCAGAGCTGCCAACTCTGAATAATGTAAACCTAATGTCTTGGATGCTAACAAAGAGCTCTTTCCTCTCCTACTTTTGGGGCCCATGCAAGTTTCTTTTGCCAGTCTTGACTTTTCTACTTGACTCACTCATGGTTCACAGTGGATCAATATTCCACTGATAATAGCTTTCCTCTGAGTAGATGAAAGGAATGTTTGCAAACATTCCATAGCATCACAGCAGCTTAGCCAATGACAGACTACAGGTGAGTTTGGCTTCAGCCAATCAGATACAAAACTATCCAGTGGGCTATATCCATAAATATGGAACCTGATGAGCTCTACATTTAAGTAAGCAAACAAAACCTCTTCCAACACCTCCAATTCAAATAATGTTTACTTATTTTTATCCACATATCTTTGCCCAATAAATAAGATTCTCAATGGTTGAAAGAACTTAGACATGCCCCATTGGTCTTTGGGAACTGAGCACCAACCCAGCCTCCAACAAGAACCCATGTAAAACACGATCAGGTTTTTGCCAAGTTCTTTCAGCTACTACAGATCAGCTTACCTCCATGAAGCTAGCTACATTTAAAGACTCCTCCATGCCAAAGATATCAAGCTGGATCATCTGCAGGTCTTTGCATTTGATAACAATGGTGCCAACAAAACATTTTTCAATGGAAAAACCATTGAAAACCTTTATCCTATGCCCTGCCAGGCTTATGCTGGCAGGGTGGGAGAATGGTCCATTTTCTGTTTTAACTTTTTTCCTTTTACGCTTAAGTTTCCACTCCCATTAAAAACAGTGGTAGGAAAAGCAGAGGGAGAGATTTAGTCACACTCAAAAGCATCTCTAAGTTTCTTGCTGGGCTGCAGATTGAAGCCACTTGCTGGAATGCCCCATTTTTAGCTCTTCTGATGTCACAGCTTTGACAATAATTGGGCCAGGACTTTGAAAGAGCCAAAGGTGGCTGGGAGGCAAACTCCAACTTCTGACATCAGAAGAATAGATCTGATGTATCCGACGCCCTCACATATAACTGCATCCTAACTATCACATGATCATATAATTACATTACACAATTGTGCCCTAGAAGAGTTGGTCATGGAAATGACCAATCCTTGGCTTCATCTTAAGTGGCACCCAGGACCTGGTGCAAGATGTAACTGTTGTCTAACCAATTGGGAGCAGTGGCCATAGTACCATTAAATTAAATATACATAGATATGGCCAAGAAAATCCAACATGGCCACATCAGACTTCAGCAGAGGAAACTTCCCAAAAATGAGAGGTGTGGTAAAAAGGAAGTTGAAAGGCAGAATCAAGGTCAAACCACTTCAACATTTTAAGTTAAAATTACTTAAATATGATTGTAGCAGAAGGGTGGCTAGAGAGGCAGTTGGTACCTTGGATGACAACTAAGCCAAAGGTATGCTAAAAGAGGATGAGATTGCAGAGAAGTGGAATGTCTTCACAGCAGAAGATATAGGGCAGATCTCTGTTCCTCAGGTAACTTTTGCAGGAAGGAAGTATGAGGAACTGAGGCATATAGTAGTGATGAGGGATGAAGTTCTATGCCTAATAATAATAATAATAGAAAAACTGACTAATAACCAAGTCTGGATAGCATCAACCTGAGCTCTCAAAGGTGAGAAACAGTTGCAGCCTTGGTGGCTTTTTAGTTTAGAGAAAATGTGCATGAGAGGTGGTATGACTAATGAAAACAGTGGATAGAGAAAGGTTTCTCTCTCTCATAACACAAAAAATCATGGATATTCAATGAGGCTGAATGGAGGATTCAGGGCACATAAAAGGAAGTACTTCACACAGCACACAGTAAAACTGTGGAATTCGCTCCCACAGGAGGTAGTGATGGCCATCAACTTGGATGGATTTAAATGAGGATTAGGGAAGTTCATAGAGGTAAGGGCTCTCAGGAAACTGCAGGATGAGAGTGCTTCTCATAGGCAGCATGTTGGTGAGACTGAGAATGGGATACTGAAATAGGCCAGTGGCCTGATCCAGCAGGCTCTTAAGTACAATTTTAACCTGCTCTTCCTGTTTCATTCAATGTGGTGTCCCACTCCTCTTTGTCCTCAATATTCACTCTAGGAAATAAGTTGGACTAACTTAAAAAGACTGGGCCCAAGGTCACCCAGTAAACTTTGTGGCTCAGGGTAGAACTAAAGTCAAGTCTCCCAACCCTATCTACCACACTGTATGGACAATTTTTATATATATACTCAGTTTTACGCACAAGCCTTAAAAAATGGCGGGCCCCGACAAACTACCAGTTTGCTCCTCAAAGTTTAGTTTCATGCTTTTGAGAACCAGCCCAGCTCAACACAATTCTTTTCCATTCACAATTTTGTTTAAGAGATTTGCGACCGCAAGTGCCCATGTTCCAGCAGACGATGACTAAGAATTTACTCCTACAGCTTTCAGCATTTTCCTAGGCTACAGAATTGTGAGGGTGTCAAACATACATACACATATACACACACACATACATACACACACACACACACACACACACACACACCATGAAGGCCTGCAGCCTCCTCTTTGCTTTTAAAAATGTAACATTGTCTCTCCATGCACACACATGCTGCACATATGTATGGAGAGGAGAACAAAAGCAACGAGGAGCCGATTTCTCGCCTTGGGCCCCCTAAGCGCAAGTGTGCGCGCGACTGTTCACGCGGGAAATTATTAAAAGTCCCCGAAGGCCTTCAAAGGCTCCGCCCCGCCTGGGCGTCTGGTAGCCAAGCAGCTCGCCTTCCGTGCCCCTGAGGAGCCTAATTTCGAGCAGTTCACCACTGACGCGACTCCAGCACGTCCTTTGCAAGGAAGTGGGAGGGCGGCGAACAACTCCTGTCCGGGCCAGGGGCAGCTTCCTTGCCCGGTGGCTGCCCTCACAAGCGCCATTGCGACGGGACTCCCAGGGAAACAAGGCCGAGGAGAGAGGAGACAGGCCTGGCCGCAGGGTAGCCAAGGACCAAGGCCCAGGCCTCCCCCTCGGGCGCTTCTTCGTCCCTTCCCCTCCTCCGAATCCAAGCCAACCGAGTCCTCCGCCCCCCCCCCCACCAACGGCCCAACGGTCGCACCAGGAACGCGCCGCTCTCTGGAACGCGCGGGAGGAGGAGGGGAAGGGCTGAGGGAACAGGCACGGGCGGGCCCACCAACCAACCCCCTGCAAAGCACTCACGTCTCACAGAAAGCTCTGGAACCGCAAGGTCCTCCTCGCACACGCAAGTATCCTGCGCTGTCCTTCCTCGTTCACCTTCCGAACCGCAGCTCCCGCCTGCGCACGCGCGTTGCGATCGACGGCTACGGGAAGGCGCTCGGGTCAAATTTAATAGGGCGCGGAACGTGCGGAGCTCTCGCTTCCCGCAGACTGATTCTGCGTGTTTATATAGTATTTGACTTCCTTCCGTAATGTTTTGTTCTGGGTTGTTTTATTTGATGTTTTAATGTGTTGTAAACCAGGTTGAGATTTATTTATTTTAATTAAGGCATAGAAATGAATAATAATAATAATCACAAAATCGTAGAATTGCGGCGTAGGAAGGGATTCCCCGGGCTCATCTATTCCAACCCCCAGCCTTCTGGGTAATAGCCATACACTGACCCAGAAAGGCTTGGGCCAGCAACTCTTCCATCATGCCACTGCTTCATATTAAATTGAAAAATAAATCTAGCTGTGAATGTGTCACAATCAAAATCAGATTTCTTCTTCTTACTGTCTGAGGCCAACTCTTGCCTTAGGACCAACAGACCAAGACAGTATACCACCATTATGAATCTGGGACGTTAAATAAAATTATCAAAATTGTATCAAAGTTAGAGACATACCTGTTAAGCTTTGTTGATTCAACACCACAAATATTATGCAGTAATACAATTCTAGTAACAGCACACAACAAATCTGCCATCTCACATTTGTGTGATTCTTCTTATTTTCCAGTGATACCAGTTAAATGTTTCTATTACTAAACTTGTGTGCTATATCCACAACATTTTTGGGTCACTTCTAGACTAATAGTACATTGTGCAAACCTCCTGATTTGTTTACACAATATTTGTGCAGAGGTTATACGATATGGCCATCACATGGTTGTTATCCTCTTACAGTATTTTTTAACCGCATAAAGTTCATTTTCTTCCTCCCCCCCCCCTTTTTTTTCTTGGAAGCAATTGCACAAAAGCACTATTTAGCTGTTCCCTTTTATTGCAGGCTGCCCACTTTGTGGTAGATTATGAAGATGCACTCTTATTGTGCATACAGCATGTACCTGGATGTGCAAAAGTGAGACAGTCTGAAAGCATCCCTGGTGCCATGGTTCGGTTTTAAGATTTAGATAACTCTTATCTAAATCTAGACAAGGTTCCAATTTACAAACCTCCAGTGAATCAAGCTTTTTAAAGCTTAGACTATACTTGGCATCAGTGTTTTCATTGCAAAATGGCCTGTTTCTACTTTATTGTTTCGTTAGAAAAGAATCTAATTAAGAAATAGGGGATCTCATGTTTCTTCTGCGTTGACATGTTTGAGCTTAGTGATTAACAGAACTGGCAATAGATAGCAGCGTAAACAATCCCACTTAAACGTATTTTGATTAAATGAATTTGGTGCACATTTTCGCAAAGCACATTTGGCCATGTTCAGCATGGTACGCTATGTATACATAATGGAAAAAATTGTGGGGGCCTCCAATTCCCACCCCCAAGCAGAAGGTATGCAATTGCTACAATTCATAGCCTCCCATCCCGGTATTAATTAGCTTGTCTCACCAACCCGAGCTGTAATATATATAAATGAAATTCTAGAAAGGCATCGGCAAGAACAAGATGTTGAAGCCAAATGGAAAACATGAACCAATAAAAAGGCTGAGCTAGTAGAAGGGCAAGCTTAGCCTTTGAAGTTGTTTCAAGTACTTACTGCATGCTTTAATTTTGGGGTAATCGTATGACGATAGATACAAACAAGAAATGCAGGAACAGCTTTTGTAACTCTGGGGCCAACTGGAGACAAATCAATGTGTTGAAGGTTACCAACAATTGCCGCAGCCATTGAAAGCATTAGTTATTGTTAAGTTGGATTTTTAATCACCGGCTTGAAAAAGATTTGTGAAGGTAGCGTGAGCACAAATTTCCAGTGCCAGCACTTTTTAAAAATAGGGGTAAAGCACCACAGTTCTTAAGAACCTAGAGAAAGAGATGATCTTAGTAGTTTGGCAAACAAGAAGAAGCCTGCATTTCTTCATATCCAATGTTTACATTGACTTGTTCAACTTAATGCAGTGTTTCCCAACCTTTTTTGGGCAAAGGCACATTCGTTTCATGAAAAAAATCTCGAGGCACACCACCATTACAGCCCCGTGACGTCAGCGCGCAGCGTCACGCCGGGAGGGACGCACGAAAGTGTAAGTTTCAATTTTTTCCCCTCCCCCTTGCCTTCCTTCTGTGCCAACCGCCAAAAAGCCAAGAAAAAAGCCAAGACTTTAGGGCAGCAGGTCGACACGGAAGAAGCTCCTACCTAAGGACAGGTGCGACGGCCGTGTCCTCTTCTGCCACACTTGGCAGCCCTGCCTCACGGTCGTGACTCCCACCCTGATTTCTCCCCGCAGGTCGAGCGGCACAGGCAGCCCAATGTGTCCAGCCCAGACACAAGCCCCGCTTCCCCACTCTAGATCCTGAATGCGACCAAGTGCTCTGGACTCCCGAGCAGGGTGGGAAAGAGGACTCGCATCTGGTAGCCTCCGGGCTCCTCGCCTGCTCGAGGGATGGCATTGCAGGCAAGCTGCCGGCCGTCGCCATCGCCGCCCCCTCATGCGAGTGGACCTGCCCGGAGTGGTGGGCCGGGGGAGGCTCACTCTCTGTGGGGATGTGGCCCGCACGCGCGGCCCCGCTTCCTCCTGCCCAGGGCTGAGCTCCTTACCCGCGATCTCGGTCTCGCGCACGCGGATCCCACTTATTCTGAAGCTCGCGCCACTAGCCGGGGCTCTCACACCGTGCCAGGGCGAGGCGGCGCGGCCCACTGACGTCATCGCGGCTCGCCGCCGCCCTCGACTTCCCTGTTCCCTCCCCTCCCTCGGGTCGCCGTGGTTACCGAGGACTGCAAGCTGCTCGGGCGAGCGTGGGGAATTAAGTGGGAGAAGGAAAATTAAAATTAAAACTCGCCTGAAGGCCGCCTCTCCGGATATCTTTCGAATTTTTTAATTTTTCCCGCGGCACACCAGGCAACGTCTCGCGGCACACTAGTGTGCCGCGGAACACCGGTTGGGAAACACTGACTTAATGGACCTGTTTGGGGTTAATTTACCATGGCAATAAATTCATGATGAGTGCTCAAGAAACATGTAAGTTGCTTGCCATCATTATTTTAGGTCACACTCTTTTGGGTTATGTTTATATGGTTTTAAAACAAAATTATTATTATTATTATTATTATTATTATTATTATTATTATTATTGCTTTTTAAAGAAAAATGGTGCTGGTACTCACCATGAAATTGTTACAGTAAGTGCCACATTTTTAACATTTGGGGGGAAAGGTGCTGGTACTGTGTACCCTTGAAGACCCCCATAAAAAAAGCACTGATTATGATTATCATCCCCCAAGCTTCACCCTAAGGTGAAGGGCCAGGTTGCATCAAGTGAAACACAATATTAAAAACAGTTTTAAACAACTTAACAATCACAGAAATTAGGTGGATCGTTGTTGCTGCTGCTGTTACTATTAAATACTATATCACCTGGTGTCCCCATGGCCACTCACTGAGCCCCACTGAGTTGTGGGTGTAACAACTCTTCCCAACCACCCCCAAATTTGGTCAACTGGGAGTGGGAGACTGGCTTGGCATGATGTGTTTTTTACTTTTACACAGGGCACCAGAAAAACAAATGCTGTTCATCTTCTTAGATTAGCCAATGCCAACCTGATGCCCACCAGATGTTTTGAGCTACAACAATCATCAGCTCCAGCCAGCACAGCTTTTAGAGCAAAGATGGTAAACTTTTGGCCCTTCAATTGTTAGACTACAGCTCTCATCAGCCCCAGCTAGCATGGCCAACAGCCAGAGATTAGAGGAGTCCAACATCTGGAGGGCCCCAGGTATACCCAGGTATACCATCCCTGCCCTCCCCTCTTTTTCCACGTAGAAAGCACTCTCCAGCCTCCTTCTCAACCTCTGCATCCTGCTCTGGCAGCAACAGCCGATTGCTTAATGAAGTTTTTACTTTCACTCAGTTTAATTATTTGAGGGCTGTGTGCTCCCTGCTCTATCCCAGTTTTCCCCACATATATGTTTTTATTAATAGTGGGGGTTGTCCCTCCCCCCTCCCCATTTTAACAACATTATAAAAGGAGAGTGGATGAGAACAGCTTTAAAAAGTGTTTATAGGGTTAGAAAATACAAGGTTTGCCAGGTGTGTAAGCTTCAAAGCATACTACTGTGGTATGTTTTTACATAAGATCAGACTAGAATGATTTAGGCCTGCCTAAGAGAAGGTTCTCCATTTACAGAATAAATGAAAGGGTGCCATTTTGCATTTAAAAAGGATCTGGGTTGGCCCAATCTCTGGATGAGTGTACTTTGTGAGTCAGTTTTTCCATTTGAAGTGAGGACTCCTAGATAGCGTTGATAGTATAAATGTAAAGGGAAAGTGCCATGCCTTTCCAGTGCCTCAGAAATTTCCCAAATGTGCAGCAAGGATGAGCCAATGTGATAAAGATCTGTATGGAGCAGATCTTTTAGCTCTTCTGGGAAGATGCCCAGTTGAGATGGCCTAGGAACTGGGCAAATGGTTTGGCCTGCTGTTTTGTTGATTGCTTGATACATCTAATCCAAGAATTTAAAGATTACCTCACGAGCCCACATGTGATAGAAGAAGCTTTGTGTTCTTCTGCAACCCTACCAAGCATAGTGAAGAATGAATGGTGGAGTTTAACAGTGAAATGACAAGAACAAAGCATGAGGTTTAAAAACATTTCTGAATTTCTACCCAGCTTTTTTTAACAAAGGGATAAAGAGCAATGTTTATTCCCACACCCCAATATATTACTTGAAGATTACATTAGGTTAGGATCCTTATTTCTCCCTGATCATGCACTAAACTCTTAGCTGGATGCCCTGTTGGCTTCCCTGTTAATAATTTACCTTGGACACCCAAAAATCACTCCTCTCTGGGGGCAGAGGGTCCCAAGGAGGTGTCATGGCAGCCTATATAGCTTTGGATATGACTGAGCTACCTCAAGAGGCAGTCATGGGAGGAAGGGGGGGAGCAGGCTTTTTGCCTCCCTCTCCCGCCATGTTTGAAAGTACCAGATAT